TCTCTGTAGCACCTATATTTTTATGTTCCTTTTCACACACTGCTGAGTTTGGGGATTCCGAGCAAGAGTCCTCTTGGTGTCACTCACGTATTTCCAGGGACAAAAACATTAAGCAGTTAAATTTTGTGTGCATTGTCCCACTCAAAGGAAGACCCCTGTCAATAGCAGACCAGGTCCTAAGCTGCAATAGGAAGAGCACTGCCAGCTGGTCAAGGCCAGTCCTCCTTCCCCTTCCCTCAGCCTCTCTGAGACTCACCTGCACTGCTGTGTTCAGTTCTGGATTCGTCAGTACAAGCAAGACACAGATGTACTGAACTTGTTTCTGTGCAGGTCATCATGAAGAAGATTAAAGGACTGAAGCTCTTCTCCTACAATGACAGGTTGAGAGAGCTGGAACTATTCAGCCTGGAGATCAGAAGGCTTGCGGAAGCTCTTAACATTACATATGAATACCAGAGGGAGGAAGACAGTAAAGAATATGGAGCCACACTCTTCTCAGTGGAGTTCAAAGGAAAGACAAGAAGCAATGGACACAGTGAAGATTTTCACTATCTTCTCAGTGAAGAATATTTCCCTAGTACCCAACGTGAACCTTCAAACTGCCATTTGTGATCCCTGACTGTTTTTACACTCACTGGAACTACCAACAAGAGTTGGGCTTGCTTACCTTTGTACCTTCCCTTCAGGTTTAGAGGGTTGCTACTAGGCCATCCCTTAGTCTGTTCTTCACCAGGCAAAGCAAGCCCATGTCCCCATGCCTCTCCCCAGGGAGCATGGGCTGTGAGCCCTTTACCACCTTGGTAAGCCTGTAGTGAACCCTTCAAGTGCCATCCTGGAAACTCAGTCACCACTTAAGCATTTCAACCTGGCTGAACCCAGCCCATTTGCACTTGGTTAAATTACAGGGAATGGTTTCCATCTTTCACACCAGCTCACCCTCTGTAGCACCATTTCTGAGTCACCCACGGGCATGCTGTAGTCAGTCATCCTGCTGACACTCAATAGTTACACTTGGCTTACTCAACAAGTTATGAGCAAGACTGTTAGTGTGATTATATGTAGGTCTGTGTGTTACTGGAACACTGCACCTCTTTTCCAGCCATTTGGCAAGCTGTTCTCAGAACTCCTAGTTTAAGAGAAGTTGCAGAAGCAAACTGTCCACACCACAGACTCCCCCATGTAAAACTCTGATGAATCTGTTATCAAGATTAAAGAACCATCTGGAAATCTTGTCAATTATGCAAGACTTCTTTCCTCCAGAAAATGTAATCAAGCATTCCCTCATGTTTATGGTCAACATCACACACAGACTTTGATCAGAATATAGAAGGAATAAAACACAGATGGACTAAGACAGTGTCACCAGAGTATTTTTTTTCTCTGGAAAAAACCCTGACACACTCTGGAATCGCAGGGCACCAGGAATATTTCCCTGTCTGCTCTGGGGTGCCCTGACCCCCAGGGGGGCACTGACTTTGACCCTCATTCATGGGGAAAGTTTCTGAAACTCCAGAATAGACTAGAATCCACTAAGGTGTGAAGTACATTGTAGAGAGTAGTGTAGGTATATCACTTAGGTGGGAAATTTAGATTTTAGGATTTTTAGCATGTAGTGGATGGAAGCAAGATGGAGGGCACAGGTTTCATCCTGGGCTTCTTCTTCATGCTTCTTCTTCCTTCTTCTTGATGGGTTTGGGTTGCATTATGTAATTGGGCAGAAAAATCTGCATTGTGGACCTTTGGGGATCAGTTATTGGGTTTAAAAGGGAAATAATCTAGGTGTCAGTTCTTAATTGGATACTTTAGCTTTAAAAGACCTTGTAACAAAAGACTGTTAGCCATTTTTGCGGTGCTTTTCCAGTGCACTGAGCCTTGTACGGACAGCATGCAAAACTCTAGATAAGATAATAATAAACAAGAACCCAAAGACCAAAAAAATCCAGAGCATCTCTCTTTCCTGACACAAGATCACTCCAGGAGGGTCTCCCCCAACAGGGGAGTCCCCTGGGAGGGCCCAGCCAGAGTCCCAGAAGTCGGTGACACAGCAAAAGGTACCCTGGCAACACACTTCAGCAACCACAATATTATTCTTTCTCCCCCAGCTTGTACATGAAATGAAGCGTACTGACACTATTCTAAAGCTCTGGAGCTAGCCAAACTTGCACAACTTTACATTCTTGTTAGTGGCATCATGCCCATTTTCCATGTGCCAAGAGAAATTTTCTCATTTTGAATCAATTCCTGATTCCTGTGGTGTTTCCAACCTTCAGCCTCAGACTTCTTACAGAGCACATCTCATAAACACCAGTTCAAAGCTGTGAGCATGCACTGGTATCATCTGGGCATAATGGTTTCCAGGACTGCCATGCAGCTTGCTTTCCAGTAACCATTCTTAAGTTGTACTTTGAGTGACGTGGAATTCATGCCTTAGGGTAGGCATGAAAGGAAAGGTTTCACTAGCATTAGAATCTATTTCCACTTTGTCAGCACCCACGTAAAACCAGCTTTCCAATTTTATTCACAGACAGGCACCTACTGGTACTCAGGATGCAGACTAGAGAGGGGATGGCTTGTCCAGAGATACCTAAAAGGATCCGTGCAGAACAGCTCACCAGGTACTTATTTAATAACCAGGTTCACACTCGGGCTGGCTTTTCTTCTTCTGAAGCATGCATAGGCAGGAGCGGAGCTCTTGTGTGTGTGTTACGAAAAGTCTAAGGATACCTTAAGGATATTCTATCCTTAAGATAGTATACTCTGTTCTCAAGATAGGATATCCAGATGCTGCAATCTCTCAGCATCTTCAGCTATCTTTTATAAATGTAGTTCCCACAACACTAGCTTACACCAGGGCTTCTGAGACGTGCTTTGCCAAGGAGTTCCCTAGGAACACGCTTTTAGCACCCTGGCTTGCAAAGTCTCCTTAGCCGGGGTTGGAACCGGCCGGCGCACCTTGGCACAGGCAGCCTCGTCCCCTGCGCTCCCACCGCCAGGCGTCACCCTGCTGATGAGAACGGGGGAAAATCCCAAACCGACCGTGCAAAAAAAGGAGCAGGGAAGGAAATTAAACGGCACTTACACAAAGTGAGAGCAAACCCAAGTTAGCATCCCTTGCAAAAAAAGTAACTAATGGAAAACATGTGGGAAATAGCCTTTATGCAAAGCACAGAAAAATATGCTAATGAAGGTAACTAAAAAATTTTAAAAGTTAAGCTTTTAACACAGAAGATACAATTACCCTGTCTTCTATTCCTTCTAAGGCAATCTCCTCTTTTCTTCCAGATGTAGCATCCAGCTGGAGTCTACGTCCATCTACTGAAAAGGAGAAAAAAAAAAAACTACTCCTCTCCCAAGATACAATGACATGGAACTTGGCATAATTTCTGTGAAGACATCCTGAGGAGGATACAATGAGCTCTGCATGAAAACATTTCTGACACAAACTGGCCACGTGTTCTTCAACGTCAGGAAGTCACTAGATGTCAAAATATGCACTAAAGCAGATATTTCATAAGATAATGATGGTTCACACTACTGTGTGACTAAATTTTCAGGAGACAACTGCCTTTTCAAAATTGCCAACACAGGTTAAAAACCAACAAACAAACAAACAACAACAGCAAAAAACTTACAGGATCATGGTACTTTAAGAAAAAAAAATTAAAGTGAGGACTGCTCGTAGGCGAAGCAGGGATTAATAGGGCATTTTGTCAGATTTAGGAGAGTGGCCCGTTTGGAGGAACCGGCTGGGAAGACAGAACGGAATGAAAGGAGAGCAGAAGGGTTCCCGGGATCCGAAGGGCCTGGGGCCACTGGCGGGCCCGGAGCGTGCTGTGACCCGCAGCGCACCCCGTCCCAAGCGGCGGGGCTGCCGGCAGGGCTCCGGCCGGTGGAGGCCAGGGCCGCCCGGAGAGGGGGGGAGTGCACCTCGGTACCGGTACCACCTCCTCCACCTCCTCCACCATCTCCTCCCTGCGGCGGGGCGGGGAGGGAGCAGGTGAATGCGCCCTTTGTCCGGCCGAGGGCCCAGCAGACCCACGGCAGGGCGCTCTTTCGGCGGGGAGTCCCCTCCGGGAGGCCGCGCCGTCCCGCCGCCGCTGGGGCCGGGGCACGGCTCACACCGGCCGGGCGGAGGGGAGCGGGATGGGCGCGGAAGGCGGGGCCGGGAGGGGAGGTGGAGGCTGCGGCCGGTCTCCCCCGCCTCTCATCTCCTCAGAGTCCGGCAGGCGCTCCGCTGCCGTCCCGAGGCCGCCTTCTCCTTCGAGCGACGCTGCCGGGCGCTGCCCGCCGCGGACGGAGCCGAGCCGGAGCCGCCGCTGCCGCCGCCCCCCGCGGCGGGACCTGCGGCGGGAAGGAGAGGCCGGGCTGCCGGGCCGAGGTGAGTGAGCCCGGGGGCGGACAGGGGCCGGCCGTGCCCGCAGCCCCGCCGCGGAGGTGTCCGTCCGTGTGCGCCCGCCCGGCCGGGCTGTGGCGCGTTCCGAACCGGGCCCCGCCCGCCACGCGGCCGGGCCGGGCCGGGCCGGGCCGGGCCAGGCGGGGAAGCCCCGGCGGGCTCGGGCTCCCTGGGGCGGAGTGCTCCGGGCTCGTTCTGGCCCAGGAGGAGCGCCGAGCGCCGCTCTCCGGCTCCCAGCCTCTGGGCTTTCATTCAGTTTTCCACCGAGCTCAGCAGAATTTTTGAAGAGCGGGGAAAGTTCTGAGCTCGCGTGCCGAGTGCCTGCAGCGTCCTGCACGGTGCAGCCGGCACTTGGAAAGCGAGATGCTCATGCCCAGCAGTTTCATGCTGTAATTTTCCGATAGTGCCGAGAGAAGGGTGCAGGCACTGTCCCGCACCCCTTCCATCACCTCCTCGTTATTATCATAGCCTGTCTGTTTCACCCATTTTTTCTTTTTTCATGAAACCAGCCCTGAAACTCCTTACTCAGAAAAACTTCCCAGTGACTTGGGATGATGTTTTCCCGGGGTGTCTGCACAGTGTGGATCCCTGATGGTTCAGCGTTACAATGAGCGTGCTGTCCCGGTACAAAATTCAGTACTCACAGCGCAGGAAACTTGGCTTTCTGCAGCGGGACGCCCTCCACCCTCGTTGACAGCTGCGTCCCAGAGCAGAAGGGATGTGCACTGAGGATGGACGTTAATATAACTGTTCCCTTTCATAACAGCTCTGGGTTAGATGACTAACTCTGTCTCTTGCAGGACCCCTAATGTTTCTTCAGATGTATTTCAAAAAGACATATAATCTAGATGACTTCTTTCTAGTAATTTGTAAGGTACTGAGTAGTGAATTGTAGGTGCTCTTCTTTTGGGGTTTTCAAAGGCTATTACTGTGCTTTGTTACTGGGAAATAATTTCATGTTAAGTGGTATCAGAAGCCAAGTGGAATATGATGATATGACGCTTGAGTTTCCTTGCATGCAGTCGTATGGCTGAAACCCATAGTTCCCTGGATGAGCACATGCATTCACACACTTTCTTTCTGTCTTGTTTTCTGCTGCATAAACCTTTAATGCTCTATTTAACATTGTATTAAATATTGTATCCCAAAAAAGCCAATAAATCAGCTTTTAGGATTAGCAGCTGGCATTCTAGCTCATGGCTTGCTTTTGTTCACATCATGGCATCATTTATTACATTCTCATCAATATGAACCTTTAACTGGAAACTAATCATGGACTCTTTGTTTCTAAATTTTCTGAATGAAGAGTGATAGGAGAATGAGAACTGGGTGAATCAGGCTTTTCCATACAGAGCTTCCCAAACTAAATTATGCTTTTGGACCTCTAAGACAGTGTGGTAGCCAGAAGGTAGGCCTGAAAGACCTTCATATTATAAGTTCCTTAAAAATAGATGTGGATTTCACTGTATTTGTTATTAGGTTTTTTTACAGGTAAAGTTCCATTTGTAAACTGTTCTTTGAATTGTAACAGCTAGAAATTTTGTCTATTGAAACATGTAGAAGTAGAAATTCTAAAATCTGAAGCTTTGTGAACATGCACAATACCCCAAAACTTTTGATAAAATCACCAGGACTAGCCCTAGGAATAGGGGGGAAAAACAGAAGTGTGCCTTCATGCGTCCATGCTTTCTTGTGTGCAGGATATACAAAGGATAACCTTTTTCTACACCATTAGCTGGTGTAGGAATGGCTTAACAGCCTGACCTTCAGACAGAATTCTTGTTGACCCTCCTCTGTAACACTTGTCTGAAAGGTTATGCTCAGAGGGAGAGCTGACTATCAGGAGGGAAAAATCCAAAGAGAAATACTAAGGAAAAAGCACTTCCAAAGGAATACTTCAGCTTCAGCTGCCTGGTGGCCTGGCAGAGAGCAAACCCTCATAGCAGACAGTAAAAGACTGTAAGACTCATCCACTGAAGGAACCAGACACAGTAAAAGAAAAATGGTCAAAGTCTGATTTCTCCATATAATTTCCCAAAAGATTTATGCATATAAAAGAATCAGTTAGAACAACAGTTGAGTAATTCAGCTGTTCAGTAGAAAAGTACAGGGAAGAGCCACCTAGTAATTTTCTTAAAGGTTGTCACAGAAAGTCACCCTGTGGTATGGCACTCTGAGCTTCCAGTAACGTGGTGCCAGGGCCTCTCCTCCTGCAGTATGCAACAGTGTGACACACACCTGGCAAGTCCTTGTTGCAAGGTCCTTGCAGGCCCTGTAGTTATCTTCAAAATACTGTCTTTCCTGCTATCCTAGGATTTTCAGAAACATCTCTTTCTGTTTATCAATTCTCTTCCTTTTTTCTTCTTTTTCTGCCATCTGATTTTTTTGTCATTCCTAATAGCTTAAAATCTTTTCTACTGCTACTTGTGGTGATGAGTATTGCCAAAATACCTGGAAACAGCATGAGCAAAGCTACAGTTTCTTGACAATCTTGAAGGGAGAATACACCTCTAAAGCCCCAGAGAGACTGTCAGGTCGACCAATCCTAAACCCTAAAATATATTAGAAACCACATCTCCATGGGCTTCTTGCACCAGAAAGTCTCATGAACTTAAAATCTTCACAACATTTTACATGCTTTTTATGCAAGCTGTTTCAAACTAATTTGTGGTCATTTAAAAACTTGAATTAATGCATTAATTCCACTGGTGACATGGATATTAGGCTTAAATATTATTTTTCATTAGTAATTTTGTTCTGTTGATTTATGCTCTCTTTTATTCTCTGTTTTGCCCAGAAAATAAGCTGAGCTTTTTCCCTTCTCAGAGGACAGACTTTCCTTTCCCTAGTTGACTGTGCCTTTTCCAGCAAATGTGTGGAGGACAAGGAAGAAAACAATTTGAGCGAAAATAGGCCGCAAAGTTCCAGTATGGCATTTCAAAACCTGTTTTACATCCTGTATTTGTTTTGCAGGGAGTTTCCACAATGGAGAAGAGGGAAGGTGGTCATGGTGCAATTGATCAGAATGCAGGTCAGAACATCATGCCAAGAAGAAGTACAGGAAATCTTAACTATTTGGTAATGTTTCTGTAAAAAAGCAGCTCATATGTCACATAGAATATTGCAATCCTTGATTCAATTTTGTCCAGCGACAGTGTTACCATCACACTGGCATATCATGAATATTTCTGAAATGTTGTCACAATATTGATGTGAAGAGATAAAAAGATAGAGAACATCTCATTCAATTTAATCACAGTCCATGATAAAAAATAAACAAAGCTTGAGGCAGCTAAAAACTACATGAGAGTAGCTGCTAATTGTATCTTATCAGACGAGCAAAACTCCATAGAAATAATTTGGGATTTTTATGCAGGAATATAAAATTTATCTTTGGGGGAATCTTCATGATAGCAACATTGCACTCAGGAAGTTTTCCACTTCACACAAAAAAAGATCCAGAGAAAAAAATCCTTTAATCCTTCCTTGTTCATGGTATTTGGGCTACACCATTAAGTCTATAGCTGAAAAGTGAAATTTATAACTTATATAATAAGAAGTTGAAATGATGCTTCACATAATGTAATCCTTCCTTCCTTGCAGTATCGTTATCTTCCTGGAATGCAAATCTATTTTAAAATCACTGCAGATAATGAAGAATGGGAAATCTACGCTACAAGTGCTTTACTTAAAGTGCTGACTATGCTGTTTGAAATATTATGTTTCCAAGTTACCTTGTCTTTAACAGTGCATATGTTTTATATATGGTTCCACTGCAGTAAGTTGTAAAAGTCATGATGGCAAATACTGTCATTACAGAAGTTTCTTATCTTCTCTTGAACTCACTTTGTATTTCTGTTCTGTCCCTTCCAGAATGTGGATATGCAGGTTGCCAATCCAGCAGAAGCAGCTGCACTTTTTGATTTACATCAAGCACACCATTTTGGTGAGTTTGAACACTCTTCAGAACGGCACTGCAAGCAGGATCTGTTCCCTAAGTGGCACTTGCCAATGAAGATAGCATCTGTGATCTCATTATTAACATTTATTTACACTTCCATGAGAGATGTCATATATCCTTTTATAACCAAAAAGGAAAACGTTTTCTATAAAATTCCAATCCTTGTAATAAACAAAGTTTTACCAGTGACTTCGATTACCCTTTTAGCACTAGTGTATTTACCAGGAATATTAGCTGCTAGTTTCCAGCTGTACTTTGGCACCAAGTATAAAAGGTTTCCCCAGTGGCTGGATAGATGGATGTTATCAAGGAAACAATTTGGACTTCTCAGTTTCTTCTTTGCTACATTGCACGCCTGCTATAGCCTGTGCTATCCAATGAGAAGATCATACAGATACAAGCTGCTGAACTGGGCATTCCAGCAGGTACGATGGGCACACCAACACCAACCCTTCTGTATTCAGAAAATCCTTGCAAATCTGGATGGGGGAAAGTCATTTTCGTTGCCTTTGTTTGATTTTCAAGTACATTCACAGAGAGCACTGTTCAGGGATGGAGCAGGACCTAGTTGCCAAAGCGTATAATAGAGTCAAAAGTCATCACAGCTGTGCCAATATATATTAAATAAGTAATTTTCTTAATTTGGGATTTTTTTCAAAATTATATCTCACAGGAACATTTAAGTCTTTGGCACACTACTAGTTTAGTGTAGATTTCTTCTCTGGACCACTGAAATCTAGAAACAAAAAGTGAGCACTGAACACAACATTTTTAGACGCCTTTGCCACAGTGAAGGAGGGCTGAGCTAAATCACAGTAATCTGTATTTGCACAAACTAAATTTGTGAATACTGATGGCTCACATTTGGGCTGATACACACTACCTTATTTAAAGATAGGATTTCAATGATGCTTCTGACTGATGGTCAATAATTGGCTTGCAAAGTTCTCCAATATCCTCTGTAACCAGAGAGTTCCTAATACTCACCCATTTCCTTGGTGCCATAAGTAATGCAGTATTAGGAATATTCCAATGTAAGGTATAGACTGCAAATATATGTTTTTGTTACCCCTAAAGTCTTTATTATTAAAAATAATTAAAAGCACAATATGATGATGTCAATAGATTCTTAAGGTTTTTGTAAACAGTCAAATTATCTGTTGAAAACTCTGAAATCAACCTTACTGGTAATCTGATGGGAATGGATTACTAGAAATTTCCTTGAGATTCCAGTCAAGATGCAGAAATTATCATATTCGGGGCATATTGTGCCATGGTGATCATTAGCAGGATCAAAGTGCTGTTGCAAGTAGTTGTAGTAAGAGAAGCTTTGACATCAGTTTATTAAAATCACAAATGTAACAAGTTTTGTTTTTAAAAAAAAAGAGCTAAACAACTACCATGGCAGGATATTTTTATTAAGAAGGCCTGCTGAATTACCTCCCTGAAGTAGAGCTGTTAATATATTTCCTGTTGTTATAATCTCCTTGATATGGTATTTAGCCATAGGTGGGGTTTTTTTCTTGTCAAAACCAAGATTTATCCTTGCTGTGAAGGCAGATTAAGAGGCCTCAGAATCAGGCTCTCCTGGGCCAAGACACTGATTAAGTCTAAATGCTTCTCTCTAAAAGCTCACCTTTGCTCTGGATATACCAGTGAAGGCTTTGTCATCAGAAGTAAACAGCAGTTATATTCAAAGACATTCAAACAAACCAAAATACTGTTTTTCTTTGCTTATTTCATTAATATTATGGTGAAAACAGTAAAATTATATTTAACACAAACAGCTAAGTGTGCCAATCTGTAATTTTTATGGTGTTCTTTTGGCAGGTCAAACAAAAAAAAGAAAATGCCTGGATTGAGCATGATGTTTGGAGAATGGAGATTTATGTGTCTCTAGGAATTCTGGGACTTGCTTTGCTGGCCCTGTTGGCAATAACATCAATTCCATCTGTCAGTCTCTCTTTGACCTGGAGAGAGTTCCACTACATTCAGGTGTGGATGAATAAATATCATTACTTTGTTGTTAGTCCCATTGTAGAATGTTGTTAGTCCCATTTGTAGAACTGTGTGTTATCAGCTAAGGCCATTAGGAGTTAGAAATATCAAACACAAAGTTAGTGAAACCAGTGGAAAGGTTTGTTCCATACTCTTTGTTAACTGGTTTGTGAGAAATGTTCTTTCCATTACTCTTTTGTCAGAACAGGCTCTTGTGTTCAGTGTATAAAATGGAAAGAAAAGACAACTCCATACTACTTTTTTTTCTCCTCCTGACTTTGTGACCAGCAGCAGTTGTCCCTTTGAGACCTTTTCTTAGTTCTGGTGCTGAAGTCATCTTCTAGGTATCTTATCTCTCCAGAACATCCCATGTCCTGCTGAATTTGGAGTAGGTGGCATTGAATCAGTCAGTGCTGTTTCCATATAGCACACACAGGTTATTCTGAAAGACACATCTTAGAACAGATGCTGAATAATCAAATCCAGCCAGTCTCGAGTTTGCTACAGCTGTGCTTGTTTCCTTAACCCGGGCATTTGTGTTGTTCTCGATTTTCTTGTGTCATATGCAGTAATAATCAGGGTGCTTCTGCTGACATCAGTATGGTCACACTAGACTTAAGCAAGTGCTGGATCAGGCCTTCAAACACCAAAATCTGAAAATTCAGTAATCTACAGAGTACCTGGCATTTGAAATTTTGATTTATATTTTAAAAGCAGATCTGAAGTGTATAATCACCAATTACTGATTTGATACTTCTGCCCACTCTATGAAGTCCATAATTTGTAAGTATATAGAGAATATAGAAAAGTCAGGAGGAAGTCTCCAAATGCATGACTGCTTTCATTATTGAAAGACTGTGGTGAAGAAACCCAGATGAGTAATACTTCTGTGTTGGACTTACTTTATAAACAAATAACTTTATTACCTAAAAATCATGTTCTGTAGCAGAACAGCAGTTGGAAGCTGTAGCATTAAGCAGTTGGAAATACAGTGTTTGACTTCATTGATGAGTACAAGATTATTAAGTGACAAGATTACTAGTTAAAATTACTAGTAAATTTTCTTTACTCTTGAATTTTGTAAACAAGCTAAGCCAAATTTACCACTGTAAGTGAAATGAAAGACTTGAGTTTCCTGTAGTTTTGCAGGGCTTTTGCCATAGTACTAGACTTACTCGAGTTTGTGATTTTAATTTAGCTTAACATTTTTCTTTGCAAGCATTCAGTTAATCCCTTAATATATCTGGTTTTGAACTCATAATGATTTTTCATGGAATTAAAGTAATTTATTATACAGATGTAAATTGAGATATTCAGGATTGAGCATGTTTCAGGAATAACCTGCAATCTCTTCTGTATTTTAGCTAAGTATCGTAGCATTACTTGAAAAATGTGCCTCTTCCATTTTCTTTTACACGGGCATAAAGGAGTACAGTTGGAGTCTTGACTTACAGTTGTTACCTTTTAGTTTAAAGCCAATGGTTACTTTTCTTTGACTTGATCATGTTGGTCAAGGCCCATCCAGATTTCTGTATTTACTTAACAGAGTACTTTTTTTGCCAAGTTGGAAAAAATAAATAGCTTGCTATTTTCTTTCTCTTTTCAGAGCAAGATGGGATATTTAGCCCTGCTGCTATGCACTGTTCATGCACTGGTGTTTGCTTGGAATAAGTGGGTTGATGCTAACCAATTCATCTGGTATACGCCACCTTCATTTATGGTTGCAGTTTTTCTTCCTATTGTTGTTCTGCTCTGTAAATGCGTACTGCTCCTCCCGTGTTTTAGGAAGAGGATAAGAAAAATCAGAAATGGTTGGGAAGCAAAGACACAAGCCAATCAAACCAGCATAACTTCCAGACTGTAGATCAGATATGGACATTTCCTGTCTATGTATCTAAATATGCTCAAAGCTATGAAATTTTCACTCATGAGCTCTGTTTTCACGTTTGCTATAGATGTTTCTTTCTCACTTTTTTTTTGGACTTCAGGAGTATGAGATACTTGATGCAATTTTGTCATTTTCAAAGACAGAAAACAAAAAACTCTATTTTACACTTTAATCTATTCAGTGTTTTGGTATTTGATGATTTCTTTCTTCTGACTCACTGCTTTTAAAATCCAAGTGTTTCATTGTCTCAGTCCCAGTTCTTTTGTATGCAAAAGCAAACATAAATTGTTTCTCCAGATGACCACAGAAAGTAAAAAAATGATTACACCATAGAGCCCAGGAATGCTTTCTGCTTCACACAGCCATGCGTGTACCTTCATTAAATCTCAAAATTATAATGGGACAAAAACTGGAGTATTTGTCATCCCATTGCCTCTTAGCACCAGCAGCCTGTGTTTCATTCTGCAGAGTGGGGACCTTGGCATATGAGCCAGACAGAAACTGTGTATTCCTGCCAGGTCTTGAACATACACAACTGAGCAAGCAGAATTACAGGGATCTTTACAAGGTAAATATCTCCTGAGGCTTGGGCACAGTCTAAAAAAAGAGGTTTTAGACTCAGATTTCCATCTTATCCAGGACTAGGTGTGTCTCTGTTTACTTGAAACGATAAAACATTTCCCATTTTTTATTCCATGAACACATTCTTTTGTTTCTGATGCTGGAAATTTTCCATGCTTTTGACCTAAGCCTGCAGCCCTTGCCACGTGCTAAACTTTTTTTGCACAAATTATTCCAGTGGGATAAATCCATCAGGTAAATGTGGTTTTTTGTTTACTCTAGGGCCAACACAATTGTGTGACTGGAAGAAAAACATTAAAAATAGGCATTTGAATCTTGCCAATGATTTAGTGAGATTGTCATGTTAAATGGTTTCCAACTGCATTTGCCTTTACAGAAATTTTCCTAATAACTTTAATAAGCTCATTAAATCCTACTTTCCTTACATTGCATAGGTCTAGCTGAAAGTTTTAAATGAATAATTCATTTGTTAGTATCTGTTTTGAAATATGTTATTCAGTAGTAAATATTTCCACTCGACATCAGGAACATTTCTGCCAGTCTGCCTGCAGGAGTTGACTAGGACATGGACTGTTGATGCCACCTATTGCTGGAATCCTCTGAATGAGAACTGTAATTGGTAATGGCTCTGCTATTAAAACAAACAGGAAAACAACATATGCCTAAAAAAAATGTTATACACGGTGCTAATTAATCTGTTGTCTCTTTCTGGACTTTCACATGGAGCATAAATAACAGACAAATTAAATAGCTACAGGGATATTACATTTTGTATTTTCCGGGTTGTTACCATTCAATTATTGCAACTTAAGAGTTGGCTTTTTTAAATTTGCATGTAATGTAATACTGTGAAAGTAACTGGGGACATGGTGACCTATGTAATATAAATTGAAATCTGTGGCATTATGTATCAAACCAGTAATGCATGACAGAGGCCAAAACCCTACAATACAGGAAGCTGGACTGCAGTGTTAATCTAAGTTTCTGACAGAGTAGGAAAAATATGGTGCTCAATGCATTTGCATTTATATTTCTATAAATGAAATAAAACTTTAATAAGCTATATGCACTTGTTACACAAGGTAGTCCAAGACAGCATAACTTCATTCATTTCAACTAGTTAATATGGTTTGAATTGATAACATAAATTAGAGGGCAAACCAATTTCAAGATCATCACATGCTATCCAAACTGACCTTTTAAGCTCATCATTTAGCAGGGGACATTAAGCACACTTACTTCAGACTTTTCTCTAGCATTGCCCAGAGGGAAACCCAAAAGTGTCTTCTACGACATGAAATTTACATAGTCTACAAAAGCTGTTCCAGAAATCACACATGACATACAAACATTGAAGTGTGTTTTTCCCTACTGATTGTTTCAGGTAGAAGCCAGGTTTTCTGTGTCACATCTAGACATTTTTCTAGAAACTACCATTGAATGCTTATAGCCAGTACTTGAGACTTCATAGTGAGTCTCTTCTCTGCTTTCTAAGTCTTTAGTAAACTACATCTTAATAACTCACTTCCCAGTCTGCAGGCTGCTCAGGGAAGTGGTTGACTCACTATCCCTGGAGGTATTTAAAAGACATGTAGATGTGGTGCTTAGGGACATGTTCTCATAGTAGGCTTGGCAGTGTTAGATTTATGGTTGGACTCAATGTAAATTATTCTATGATTTGCTTTTAAGGCATTCAGATACAACAGTGAGGAAGATCTACACAGGGCTAAGAAGAAAATGCTGTTGACAGTATTTAATTTCTCAGTTTGTGGCAGACACAGTTTAGTTCAATACTGGTGAATCTAGATTCATATGTACCTTTTAATTTATGTTTATGTACTTGTTTCAAATTCAGTGTATTAATAGGCCTATATACTATTACAATACATTAACTGAATGTGTGTGCACATTTCAGGCACTTATTTGTATAACACTAATTAATTTTATAAAACTGTATATCATTAAATGCTTCAATGTATGCTGTATCTGCTGTTGTGTCATATACATCCAGGGTAAAAGGGTAAAAAGGCACAGTACACTCTAGAAGAGCTGCTGATAGAAAGTCAAGGGAAACCATTTCCTCCATGCTAGTGAAGAGCCTCGAGCCTCCAAAGAAAAGAAAACAAAGATGCAAAAAGCAAAATGGACACTTTCCTAGTGTAATGAAATTGCATTTTTCCTGACAGTACCTTTAACTGTATATTCTAGCATTCTGAGATTTTTGAAAAGGAAGAGAAAGCTTTGGAGGGAGACCCAAGATCTCTGGAAATGCTGATCAAAGAACAATAAAAGTTCAAGAATAGCAAGGGCATTGAGGCATTGAGGAAAGGCATGTATGGGCACACTTTTGTGTAAGAATCTATCATTCTAGTGGCAGTGGCATTAAAATGTGTCTCTAAGGCCTGCAAAGTACTTTTTTCTATTGTTACATGTCTCCAAGGTATTTGAGAGACATATTCCTTAATGGGGCCTAAGGAATTTTATGCCAAATTCATTTGGAGAGATCATATCCAGAATACTCTTCCCAATAAGTGACAGAACTAACCATTGTTCAGGAAGCTAGAGCCAGGGCTGTGTTGGCTATTGTGAAATGCAAATTCCTGTTGACAGCAGCATTTACTGTAAGCAATCCCTCCCTTTGGCCACTCTTCTCTGCTCTGTCATTGCTGCAAGCTGTTAAAGATGTGAAGTTCATCAGAGTAGGGCATTGGATCCAGTTGAAAAGTAAAGCAGAGAGAAGAATGATTCAGCCAGATCCACTCATGGGTCTGATTCACCTGACAGTCAGCATCCTACATATGTCAGTAGGAAGGACTCAAAGAGGAATGGTGTAAACAGGCAGCTTAACTTAAACCGGCCCTAAATGAAAAGTTCCCAGTGCTCCTAAAAGTTAAAACTTGCATTATTTCATCCTATTTCAGTGGATATTCAAGAATATTCCCTTGCTTCACTTTTTTTGTCATGTTCTTAGTTTTCCATGAATCAGTGGGCAAAAATGTGCTCTAGAAATTGTCATCAAAAGCCATATAAAACTAACTGGTGTCTACGTGACTGTGGGCTTTGTGGTTTCATTTGTAGAGATGGTGATCTCACATCTCCCCTTTTCTCCTACATCCAGACTTTCTAGTCCCTTAACAACACAAAATGTTATGCTAACCGTTTTTGAAATTCAAACTAATTTCTTTTAAACTGATTTTCTTTAAATGCCATTAAAGAAAAAATTTAAAAAACCAAAACAAAAAGACCAATTTTTGGAAACACACTGAAACCACCCCTGAAGAATGTAATCTGCTGTTGTCGCTGTAAGTGTCTGGCAATGGCTGATCATTGCCACTGATGTTTTTTCAGTAATGCCAGGATTTCTTGATCCCATGAGCATATTCTGTTGCTGATCGCAAAATTACTTCTTATTATTTCTTTTATTCAAACAAGTCTCATTAAATTCAGTTGCCTCAGAGTTCAATTTTTGCATCATTCTTTGAACTTTTCTGTAGATTAAATTTAACACTTTGAATGGATGAAGTGAGGCTAATTTATTAAGTAGGCATAATAAGTTTTCAGAGATTTTCAGCTGAAAATACATAAAACCAATCCATGAACTAAACTCTTCAAACATAAAAAAGACCACAGCTACTTTCAATAAAGATGATACAACAGAAGTTTTAGCTGTTTCATATTTATTGTTTCTTTTTTATGTATATTTCATCTTCATAGCATGGAAGTACATTGCTGAGATAAATATGCTATATCTTTGACTTGGTTAAAGATGTGTAGTCACTGTGGGACTTGCAGAATACTAATATTGCTACTGATAGAAGTATTTGGTCCTTAAATGTCTTTTTTTTTTTGGGCTCACTACTAAAAAAGAAGCAAGGCAAATGTGAGGATTTTTTAACTGGATGGTCAAATTTGTAGTTTGCAGTCATATGTAGTCTTTATATATGTGCTTACAATTTATTGTTGAATGTACTCTACTGAAAAGATTTTTCCACATGAATATCTCCATTACTTGGCATGCTGAGAAGGATCTTATTGCTGGACTTAAAGGAATGGCCATATAACCCACCTCTAATTATTTCTCTGCTTTATTTTTTCAGTCCTGTGACTCATATATAAAACTGCCTGTACCTGTGCATGTACCAGAATAACTTCTGAACAGTGTATCTCATTCATTCAAAAATATTCTAACAGGAAATCCTTAAAAAGAAAATAAACAAGAAGCTGGAACTGGGAAGAAAACCAAGCCACTTTCAAAGCTCCTAAAGTATCTCTGCAACTTTAGTTTAGACATCTAACAATTGTTAGATGTCACCCATAATTAAAATCATAATTTCCCCCTTCTAATTAAAATCATAATTTCCCCCTTCTAATTTCCAATAGACTTTGTACATCTT